GCAGTCTATGGTCCCCTGAGGCAAGAAGCCCAGAAGGGAGACAGGGGACAGGGAGTACGCAACCATGAGAGACAGAACTGGTACGGGCAGGGGGGCAGAGGCCCCCTTGGCTTTTATCAGTAAATGTCTCAAACACTCACGAATGTGAAAACCCTGGAAAAAAACTCCTGTGGCTTTGGGGAAGAGCCCAGGGATTTCTGTAGTCCTGCCTAAGAGCCCAGGAGTATAAAAGGGGTAAGATACGTGCCAGTGACTGGGACTTCGGGTGGGACACCCCTCCGAACCAAGACCAAGGTGATACCTCTCTCTTTTTCCCTCTCTGTCTTTTCCCCTCTTCTCTCTTAAAGTTGCTAAGTAACATAAAGCTTACCTTGACTACCATCAAAGCTGCATGTCCCTGTAGTATCCCTGTAGTTTTATTGAACATTGAATGTTACTGTGTTTTGATCGAATGCTGCTTATTACTGTGTTTTGATTGGAAACCACTTATCACTGTCTTACTGTGTTTTGATTGAGAGCAGCATATATACATATCCATCTGTCTGTATGATTGGGTAGAGTGGGCACGTATTAGCAATGACTTGTTTTGCATTATTGCACCTTTGGTGTCATTTCATCTTTGGTGTAATTTCATCTGCACCCCCTCTTTCTTCAGATCGCTCTTCTGTGACGGTTTTGACTCAGCTGACAGCGTGTTCAGAGGTGAAGTCCAAGAGAATGCAGACAATTCAGCAAACCCAAAAGCTTCCTGAAAGCAGTCTTCCTTAGCCCTTCTTGTGTGTGATCCCTATACTTATTCTGGAAAAGCACCTTCTGCTTCATCAAGTTCTTGTAACATTTTCTTTCTCCCTGAGTTGCTAGACATTAGTGAAGAAACGAGTAGACCTCTGTGAAGTCCTTCCAGTGTCCTTTGCCGTATGATCCCAGATCTGTCCCAACAGACCACAGAATCCAGTGACCTTGTTGACAGGCAACAGATAAATCAAATTTCCCATGTGAGCCAACGGATTGCTTAAATGTATTTTTCTCTTTTTTTTGTGACAATTATTTTTTCAGAACAATTACGTTAAAAATTGCTTATTACTTGCCTTGAAGTAACAGCCAACAGCAGCCCAACATGAAGATCAAAAGAAAACAAAGATGATAAAAACCCCCTACCTTTGACACAGGATTTGCACTCTCATGCAGATTAAAAACCCCTCAATCAAATAAGATTTGTCAAATACACATAGGAATCCCCGAGTCATAAATCCTAAATCACACAGGCACTTCTGGAAATCTCACCCAGGAGTTCAGCCGTACTTCAGTGGAGGTGTCCTTTGGTGACAGGCAGCAAAAATATTTCTTAGAAAGAAGGATTGCTGCCTTGGGAAATGAGATTTATCTCACAGAAAAGGCACTTGGTCCCCTCACAATCTTTACTCATGAAAGGCTTTCCCAAGTGCATGTGTGTCCCACAAACCAAGTGCTTTGCCACGGGCTCAGCGCACTAGCACAGAGACACAGCTGTGTGGGGCGGCAGGTGTAGGAGAATAAATCCTGGCTGACCGCAGTTGCTGACATATTTAACCATGTCAAGTGTAAATCCAAAATGCATTTGAAGGTGAGGGAGCCAGGAGCTAGTTACCACCTTCAGAAGCCAGCCTCTGGATGGTACTGGGGTACCTCCCTGGTGATGACTTTTGTTCCCTACAAACGGCAATGGTGGAGGCATTTGTCCAGCAGTAAGGCTTGGTGCTCCCTCGGAGCTGCACACAGAGCAAAGAACCCAAGTTACTTACGATTTTTTATGAACCCTGAATAGAGGCAGGTAACAGAGTATGAAATTGCCGGTTTTGTGGAGCTGTTCATCAGAACAGAAGAGCCCAGCTGGGGAACTCAGATGAGTTAGAGAAACAGAATTAAGAATAATTTATAGCTGCTGTGGTGAAGTGTTTATGGTGATTCATTGTTTCATCACAGCGTGTGCTTAACGTTATGAGACAGTTTGTTATGGGTTTGCTGTGCCTCAAGTGAGCAGAGACACATTTTGATTGAGACAAATGGGAAAAAAATGAGACAAAAATACTGTTGGCTAAGCGGTATACGGCACAGGGTGTATCAACACGATGCCTCCTCCTCTCCCTCCTACCGAAAGGGTTGCACCAACAGAAATGTACTAGCAAAAGTCAGCACATTGCAGGGGCTTGTTTTCATGCCTATTTTTGTGGACTCTCTAACTGCATCTGTACTCATTTGTACATGCAATGTCAATTGATGCCCAGACCAACAGGTATCTGCATCAGGTGCAGTAACAGATCTGCAGTAAAAGTTTCACAGTGTCTCTGGGCCATCTGCTCTCAAAATTTCTCTGGCACAGCTGCTGGGCTTGCACGTGTTAATGCTGAACTGCTTTTGAAACTAGCCAGTGTATTTTGATGGTTGCATTAACATAATATTAACAGTGAGAAAAAGTTGATCTTTCACTGGTTCCCAGATTCAGTATGTGATCTGACTGATGATCCTGTTAAAAGGATAATTGGTGATGTGCATCATATGATGCTTGTGCCAAATCCACAACACCAGGTGCTTTAATTACATAGAATATGTATTTACAGTCTTGAAATTCCTTCTGCAATAACTGCAGAATTTGCAGAAATGTTGTAGGTTGGGGAAGTATCTCTATGGAAGGAAAAGGGAAATGCTGCACAGAGAATGTTAATCAATACTATCAAAATCCTCGGAATGCCTCCTGTACGTGTACTTCCCTGTAGCCATCCAGGGACAACTCTGTACTTTTTTCTTTACCAGAATGCAACACTTGGCAAAAAGCCATGAAAAGTGATCCACTGGCTGAGACAAGACGGTGTGTCCCATCTCTGAGACAGGCCAGCAGCAGATACAGAAGACAGAAGATACAGAAGGATGAGGCAAGCGTCAGGTCATACATTCCTTCCACATCTTCCAGACCTCCTGTATTCACTTCCAAGTCATGTCAGCTTTTCAGTATTCTCCAGCTTCTCTGCGTCCCATGTCCTCAGCCATTACTTCTGGCATTGACATAAGTGTTCTTCAGCATCAGTTCCTTGGCCCCAACTCAGACCATCCACATCACCTACATAAGCGAACAGAACACACACAAACGTGAGGAACAAGACTTCATGGTGGGATGGGGTTGCAGAAAGGCATCAGTCACCAATGAGAGAGAGATCTGTTTACAGAGGTGCCAAAAACTTCCACTCCACTGAGGTCACTGAGGGTTAAGGGGTTTATCCAGGCTGTCAGCTAACTCATTTTCCTGGCTGAACTCTGTTTTGGTGCCTTGCTGGGTTTGATCCCTGTTGAATACTGATTACTGACACTAAATCAGTGCTGGTTCACTCCTAGGCTCCCTCCTGGTGTGTTTTTTGCTCTGTGGTCGAGCATCTTGGGCTACCCCCACTAAAGTCACAAAGCTTTGAAAGCATAGATTGCTAATGGGAAACCTGTTCGGTTTGAAGGATAAAATGTTGTGGAGTGTGAAGGGAGCTGTGAGAAATCCCTTTTCTGACACCCAGCCATCACATGAGCGCTGATCTTCTTCCTCTTTCGGCTGCATCCAGAGCCACAGGATCTGCAGATCGTACGGAGCAGAGTCCCAGTGAGATCCCCAGTTGTGCAATGTTTTATTTTTTTGAGCCCTTCCTGAGGAAAGAGCAAAAACAATTGCCTTAAATGGAGAAAAAGGGATTTTAAGGCAGACTTAATCTGCAGCCTTTTAACACGGTAGTATAAGGAGAAAGAATGGGTTGAAAGGCTGTGATGAGGAGTTGACAAGGGCTCTTTCACAGAGCCCAGCACAAGGGTTTGCTCGGGTTTCTCACACTAAGGTATTAAAATCAGCAGCTGGTCAGGCAGAAAAGCTCTGCATCCATCTCCAGGGGCAGCTGGATTCCTGGATACTGCTGCTGCATCTGCAGGTCTTTCATCAGCCCATCTCAAAGCAGTTGTTTCTGCCAGTTACTGTTCTGTGGCTTTACACAGCCTGGCTGAACAAGGAGGAGTTCATTCAGCCAGCAGAGACTGTTCCTGGGGGAAGCAGCGGTGGGTTCGTTACACTGCGTGTGTGTGCGCACGTGTGTGGCTGAGCTCATTGAGGAGCAGTTTGTGCTCTGATGGTTTCATTGTTGCTGTGCTACAACCCAGAAAAGAGCTGAAAGGGCTCAGGAGTGATGACAGCAACAGAGGTTTTGAAAAGAACTGTCTGTAAAGTAAAGAAACCAAACGTTTCACGCTGTTTTCCAAAGCTGGGGTGCGTCTCTTCCTGCCGGCTCTGAAGGGGCTCTCACAGCTCCCTGCACAGCAGAAGGCGAGTGTAAATTACCGTCTCTGTCACAAGGACAGGGACACGGGGAAGTCAGAATGTTCGAAATCAGTGTATCTCTGTTGCTGGTCAATCTCCCCTTTGTTTGCCAGGATGGATCAATGCGATCAATGTGCCAGAGAGGGAAAGCAGCATGAAACAGAAACCTGTGGGGCTTTACAAATCACTCTCCTTTCACCTCCCGCTGCTGTCTCCACCCTCAGAACATTGTGACTCCTCCTGGAAAGCAGCGATGCTGAGTCTGCCTGGGCTGGATCGGCTCAGTCCTGTGCAGAGCTTTAGCCAGCTGGCAGTGCAGGAGGGCTCTGCTTCCCCTGCCGCTGCCTTCCTCCTCCTCCTCCTCTGCAGCAGGGAAGCTCCCGTCTCCACATGCTGTGTTCACGAGTGCCTCAGACCGACTATGAGGAAACAGCTTTTTAACCCCTGCGAATGAGCTGGAGCCTTGGAGGGATGAACCTGCCTGGCCATTGAACTGACAAAGACTGAAAGTTCAGGTGCTTTTGGGGTTTGGAGGACAGCACAGGAATGGGACTGTGACTACGTGGAGAATGTGCTCTGGGGCCGCGGCTCACCCACGCTCGGCTCCACTCACCCGTCTGCAGCGGGCCATGGAGGACGTGTGCTGAGACACTGCAGAAGCAGCAGTGGGCTGGTGAAGATGGAGAATGGCACAAGGGAGGAGCAGAACCACACTGGGCTGCCACTGTCAAGCCAGGAGGTTGTTACAGCCGAATACCAAGTGGTTACCATCCTCTTGGTCCTCCTCATCTGTGGACTGGGCATCGTGGGCAACATCATGGTGGTTCTGGTGGTCCTCAGAACCAAACACATGAGAACTCCCACTAACTGCTATCTGGTGAGTCTGGCTGTGGCAGATCTCATGGTGCTTGTGGCTGCAGGACTTCCCAATATCACAGAAAGCCTGTATAGATCCTGGGTGTATGGCTACGTGGGGTGTCTCTGCATCACTTATCTCCAGTACCTAGGGATCAATGCTTCTTCTTTTTCCATCACTGCCTTCACCATTGAGAGATACATAGCCATCTGCCACCCAATCAAAGCTCAGTTCCTATGCACTTTTTCAAGAGCCAAAAAGATCATTATTTTTGTCTGGGCTTTCACCTCCATATACTGTATGCTCTGGTTTTTCTTGCTAGACCTTAATACAGTAGTCTACAAAGACACTACTGTTGTGACCTGTGGCTACAAGGTGCCCAGGAGCTATTACTCTCCTATCTACATGATGGACTTTGGTATATTTTATGTTGTGCCAGTGGTATTGGCGACTGTCCTCTATGGCCTGATTGCTAGAATACTGTTCCTGAACCCCATCCCTTCGGACCCCAAAGAAAACTCTAAGACATGGAGGAATGACGTGGCTCACCAAAGCAAATCCGTGAATTCCAAGATGACTAACAGGAGTTTCAATAGCACTGTTGCTTCTCGAAGGCAGGTAGGAACAGCAGTTTGAAATGGCTTTCTGAAACTTAAAACCCACTTGTTTTAGAGATCACTAGTCTAAACCTGTGGAAAGAAGTCAAATATGTTCTCCCTTTGTTAAGTAGTCAAGGTGAAATTCTGTGGTACATATGCACATACCTATAAATATGTATTTTTTCTTGCCTATTCGTTATTACCTACTGCAAGGACTGAGAAACCTACAGTATTTCATTTGCTCTATCAAAAAAGCAATTAGAAAGTGTCAGTAAAAAATGAAATATTTTTAACTATAGTTGGTTTATATTACAGCCTGTTAATAATCCTGACAAATACACAAGGTAACTCTTGAGTTATTTTTTGAGATCTGAAGAGGAGGAACCAGCCTGGGAGTTTAGGAGGCTTGAGGTTTTGTCCCGGCTAAGGCACAGTGTCACTCTGCAAACACAGCCAAGTTGTTCTTTTCCTGTGGCTAACTCTCCTGGGAAAAGTCTACTTAGGCAAGTCTGTCTATAAAAGTGCTTCATCAATGCTAGGTGTTTTTATTCTGTCTCTCAAAACTGAGGCACAGGTTTGACTAACTTCTTTTTATATTGTTAAATGTGTATGCTGCAACGTGTAATTACACAAGTAGACTACTGGATTAATTTATGACTGTTTTCAACAAACCGTGCTGGCTCAGGCTCCCAGAGCAGGCAGCAGGGAGCACAGCTGGGTGCAGTGCTGAGACATGCAGGGTGCATCCCTGCACCGCTGGCTCTCGGGAGCAGGTTCCGTTGGGTCAGGCAGCTCGATGCAAGCACAGCAAAGCGGTGGTCTGTGCCGAGCAGCCTGGCTCAGAGCCCTCGGCAGCCGCTGCAGGGCAGCCCAGAGGGTCTCTTGCCGGGCGGGATGCTCCTGCCTCTGTACGGTTCCCTCGGGCAGCAAAGCTGAGGGGTGCACCTTCCCAAACAAGATGAGTGCCCCCTTGGGTGATGGGCTGAACTTTATATTCTTCTTCTTTTATGTAGATTGCTTCTGTTCCATGAGAGGGACCGTTTTCCCTTGTTACAGAGACAGCACTGATCCCAAGTCAACTGAGCTCCTGCTGGAGCACCACGCGCTCGCAGAGCACTAGAGCCGTGCTTGGAAATGCACAGCTGAAACATGGGCTAGGTGCTGTTTAATTCTGTGTCTCCAACTGTAGCCAATAGTCAGATTAGAAGTGTTTAATTTTTTCTTTGTCCATTAATTAGTAGAAGATAATCTGCTTTTCAAGTTCTCAATATCACTTTGTATGTGTGCTTGCTGTGTGTGCTCAGCATCACTTGAACAAGACAAATCTTTTACGGTGAGCCTTGCTGAATGTGGATGCTGTTATATTATGAAACCAAAAAGTGAGGATTATAATGTGATGTCTTGTATGTCTTGTAAAAACAGACTTTTTCTAAAAGCCTAGGTAACCTGATTGTTTAAAGTAGCATCACTGTAAGTAAAGCTAGCATTTGCATTTAGTACAACATAGGCAGCAAAGCGGGGATAGTGTGGCATTGTTAACAATATTTTTCATATAATATCAGCATGCAAAATATAGCCAGGGGTGTAAAATGGGAAAACACACATCCATGTTCCAAAAAATCTAAAATCTCAACAGTTGGTAAGACACAGAAGTGAAAATTTCCTGCTGCTCTGGCAAAGCTGACAGTATAGTTTGGCCTCATAATGAGTTTTGCTGTCACATAAAACTGTCAATGCCTTCTCAGAACTGCGCTTGCACGGCAGCAGTGGAGTTACAGACAATGTCCAGCATGTGATCTGTAGGAAAAGTAGACTGAAAATGTGGTGTACACTTCCTACTTCTGTGTCAGTTCTCACGTTTATCCGAGAACGTTTCTGCAAAATGAATTCGTCCAGTGGTGGGCTGGCTCTGGCTGGGAGCCAAACACCCACCCAGCTGCTTGCTCACCGCCCCCCCCCCCCCCCCCAACAGCGGGAAGCCCCCCCCCCCCCCCCCCCCCCCAACAGCAGGAAGGGGGAGAAAGTGGGAAGAGTGGGAGCAAGAAAGCTCAAGATAAGGACAGGAAGATAGCTTATCCATTACTGTCGTGGGCAATGGAGACTTGACTTGGGGAAAACTAACTTCATTGATTGCCAATTTGTTGCCCCTTGTTGTAGCCACGAGTTACACTCAGTCCCTTCTGCGAGGCAGCTGGCAGTGTGGGCTGGGGGAGAGCTGCAGTCAGGTTGCAGAGGTTTCTTTCTGCCACTCCGTCCTTTTCACTCTTTTCCTCTGCCTTGGTGTGGGTCCTCCATGGGTGCTGCCGGCTTCTCCACGGAGTGCCTCCTCCTCCTCTGGCTTTGGTGTTCCCTCTGCTGCTCCTCCCTCTTTTGATCCCTCCTCCTCTGTCTCCCTCTCTCTCTCTAGCATTGTCACCGTTTCTTAAATACGTGTTCGCAGGGGTGCCACCAGCTTGGCTGATGGGCTGAGCTGTGTCCTGCGGTGGGTTCCCTGGGGTGGGATGGAACGGTCTGTGTCCAGCACGGGGCAGCCCTGACCCTCTTCTCAGCCCCCCTCCAGCCTCCCCGCTGTCGAAGTCTGGATGTGGACATTGTGGACAAAGGATGGACAATGTTCAGCTTCGTTAGAACAGACATTTTCAGCCTCTGGTGTAAAGAGACATGATGCCAGCACTGAAGGGGAAAAAAAGTGGTCAGGTGGTCAGAGGACTTCTGTTTTGTTTTCAAAATAGAACATAAATTTAGATCATTCTATGATTTAGAAAGAAGGCCTGGAATATATACTAGAATGGTGAGTTAAAGGCTATTTTAACTTATTTTTCCTGAGAGATGTCTAGGGATGGGCTCAGATTTACATCTCCAGTGAATGAAGATTAGCTCTACTAGGTAGAAAGTGGTCCTCTGCCTGCTCGTTCCACTCCCTGCCTTCACCCTCCCAGCCACACAATTTAGAACTCGCTGAACTATGTTAGTTCTAGGAAATATTTATTTTGTTCCAATGTTTGGAAAGCTAACAGGAACAAAATCTGTTTACCAGAGGATCGATACCCCCATATCAACAACCACCAACAGACAAAGCCTTCAAAGTACTCTTCAGGGCCCCCTCGAGTTTTCATTCAAAGCACTGCAAGGCAAAACTGAACAGGGAAGATAAGAAAAAACAACAGGTATGAAAAATTAATCCTTTTTTAAATTGTTGAAAGAGAGGGAAAGGCACAAAATAAGCTTTCTTTTCTCATAAAGTATCTCCAATACATTTTTGTTTCACCTAACAACATCTGTTACTGCTGATACTGGAGAACTGCTGAAATGATGAGTTATTTGTTTACACTGCAAACTAAAGTTCTGCTGAGGAAAGGAGCACCAATATGGACCCATAGGATGTGTCGAACTCCATTCTTACATCCACTCCCGAAGAGCTAAATCAATCCCACTCATACAATATTTATCCTGTTTTGCAGAACAGCACAGGATAGCAGGGTGTGATAGATGTGTTGTAAAGGTTTGCAAAAAGACAGGCACTCCTTCCTACATAGGAGTACATGTCCAATCGACTTCGTATTTTCCATCAAGCTTCTCGTATCCTGGAAGGAACAGAAACAAGTTCATTCTGCCTCGTGTTTGTCGGAAGCTAAATCCAGGTTGATCCACTCTTTATGGAAAGCAGCGAGAGTCATTGACTGTCATTGCAGAGCTTTGATCAGCCACTACAAATCAGTTGTCAACATATGACTTCGTCCTGAGGGCAGATCTCACGCTCCATTTTCAGAGGAACCGGTTTGTGCTCAAGGCTACATGGCGGTGGTTTGTAGTTTGTGACTTAAAGAAAAATCTTGAACACCTGTTAGGTCTGAGGGAGCCGGTGATGACTGTGTTGAATGGGCTTTCAGTTGTGCTCTGCAAAGAAAACAGCCTTGCAAGACTGAAGTTTTGTTGTGGGTTGTCTGATGTCGAGGAAGGGGTTA